TCAATAATGAGACATTTCAGAGGATCTGGAGAATCCTGGATTAGGGGAGACATCTGAGCTGCTAAGTTACTGGGTAAGATGGAGGTGTCACATCTCAGTAGGTCTCTTCCTGAGACAGGAACACATGAAGATACATACATGTGAGGAAGAAGATGAGCATGTGTTTGGTGTGAGATATGTTAAGCTTGAGGGGATGTGGGCACTATCCAAGAGAGTGAAACTTTGGCCATATAGCTCAGGAGAAAGAATCGGACTGAAGATGGGGCATCAGAAGGTTGATGAGGTCACCTGGGTGAGAAGAGGTTCAAGGACAAAACATGGGAGAACATTAGTATTCACGCTTAAAGTGTTGAAAGAGAAGAGACCAGAGATATAGGAGAAATCTAAAAGGAGACAAAAGTGAAGTCCTATGTATGGAATCTCCCAGAGAAGATTATATACAGTGGTAAAGTCCAGAGCTGCAAGTGATCCTACAAGGTCAGACATGGGAAAAGGCATCCCAACAGTTAGAGAGCAGTCCTTACATGGCCCTGGGGAGCAGGGCAGATGTGAAGAGCTGAGTGTATAGGAGGAACTGGAGCAGGGAATGTGGGGCAGATGTCGCTAGCCTTTTATTTTTAACAGAATTTATAATATTATTGAGGTTGTTTTCCTCCCATTCATTTTCTTTCAATGAGAGATATGTTCTCTAGCATTGTTTTACTCATTATGTATGAGAGCTTTCAAAAAGTTCATGGGAAATGGAATTCAAATACTAGTTCATTTTGGTGCAAAAATTTGAAAATCCATGCATAGAGTTAAATGATACTTTTTCCATGAAATTTTTGAAGATCTATCATGCATGTTTATTAAAAAGAAGAAGCTAGTAGGGGCATGGAGAATAATTGAGTGGTGAGAAAGCTTTTTACCAGTGAGTTGTGCATCTTTACTATCTCATTTTAATTAAAATCATGTCATATATATTTGGTTTAAATATAGTTTTTGCTATCAGACTCTGAAAGTTGGTGGTTACACAACAATTCACATTTTGGTTTTAAATCATTTTCAGAACTACAGTATGGACAGAGAGAGTAAGCATCATAAAAATGATATTCTGTGTTTTCCGACAGTTGATTAAACTCTCTTTTCCCATTTCTGATTTTAGTTGCATTCTTGTGGGTCTCATAGTAAAAGACTTTAGTTTCACAACCTCTGGGAATACCATGGTGTTGCAGAATATGAGATTTTAGAGCTGAAACTAACCTGGTAGAAATTCAAATCCATCTTTTATCTTTTAGATAAAAGCCTTTGAAATCCTTTTAGTGTGAAGTTATCAGCAGGCTCAATTCTCAAGTAACCTCATTACTAACTCAAGGATTATTCAAAATTCGAAGAGAGCAATGCTCTATGGCTGAAACTAAGGTTTTATCACTAAAGCAGTCCTGAGAAGCCACATGTGGTCCACCTCGTTCTGCTTGGGAAATTCTGCCCACTCTCTTGCGATAAACCCTTGGAGAAATTACAGAAATACAATAACAGAGCGCTTCAAAAAGTTCATGGAAAATAAAATTAAAATACAAATTTATTTTGGTCCAAAAGTTTTTGAAATCCATGCAGTTTTTCACAATACACATTTTTCATAAACTTTCTGAAGGCCCCTTGTGCATATTGCAGGCTCTCATAAATTGTGAACTGAAAAAACCTGTTCAACTTTGAGCATTTCCAAAACTTACCTAACTATAGAACATTGTCTACATTAATATTTCATAATTTATGTGAGGGTTTTGTAAGATAAGTGGAATGGATACTTTTGAGAGATTGATGCTTCGGAATTGAGGGCTCTGCTGTTGAAAGTGATGGTGGTGTTCTCAATATATCTTTGTTTCATGGACTGGGTTTGGTGAAGTATGAGAAAAATTTTTACCCAGCATCGCCATTGACTTCCCCATCTTCCCCCTGAAATGCAAGAATTGGCTTTTTAGGTACTAGGGTTTTGAATGTTTTCCTGAAAAAAATATTTTTCATCAGTTATTTCCTCTACTTCCCTTCAATGGAATAAGCACTCCATTAATAAATTTGTAAGAGCGTTTATTATGGACAGAAAAGTATAAACTGAAAGTAGTTATATCAAGTTCACCAATTATTTCAGGGCTTACTTAAAAGAAGATAATTCACTGCTTGGGGGACAAGCCTAATTTCCCAAACTGAAACCCCGTAGTGATTTACTTATTCCATAAGCTATGATCTTATCGACTCAGATTTACATTTGGAGTAATAAAACTGCTGGCAGCTGTTCCTGGTTGTCTGTGGGAAGCAGACAAGGAGATAAGAACATTCCTATTTTTATTGCTTTCTGAAACACTTGGATTTGAGGTGGGGGTGGGAAAGGTGTACTTACTGTGGCCATAAATGTCCGTAGAGTCTGACCAAATACGTAAACCGGTCCTCTTCGGAAGACGTGGTAAATCTCTCAGGTCACTGACCTCCATTCATCAAACCTGCCAAAGGCTTAAAAAAAAAGAGAGAGAAAAAGAGAAAAAGAATGGCCTCCTCTTCATCAGAAAAACAATGATTATTTTTTAATTTGCCAGAGGGCACATGCGCTTGCCAGAGAGGCATAGAATGAGAAATCACTACCCCACCCCACCTCCAATGGGGCATGGTCACTCAGCAGTCTATTCTCTTCCATTTTTGCCTCCTGTCTGGATTTTGGACACACACACACACACACACACACACACACACACACGTGCCCAGTTTGGTTTTCAAACTAATGGGACTCGAACTGTGCAGTCAGTCATGTGGGACAGGCTTGGGACAATCACTGCCAGGTGTATGACTTTCAAGTCTTCATTCGAGGGGGACTGACCTTACTCACCCTACTCCCAAAGAGCTCCATAGGACCCTGAGCCAACTCTGTACCTCAACCCAACTCCAATGAACAACATTCTGGGCAGGGTGCAGTGTAGCGACAGTATTGGAAGGGCATTGGCACAGGCTCTGCCCAGCACCCTTGACGATACCGTAGAATATCAGGAAAGTTGCTGGCTCCGAGGCCACTGGAAACTCCCAGTAGATGGGGTGTCTAGGATGACTGGTCAAACCTCTGAGTTTTCCTGACTCCCAAAATGTGTCAACGTGATCTCTACTATCTCAGGACCCCTAATTCTTAAACTTTCTTCTCTGATCATTAATACTTTAGTTAAAAGCTGCTAAAATCAGGACCAAATCTGGTGAGGGGGTGATTTTTATTGCCTAATAAATAATATCATAGAAGGTCATAATTTCATATTAGCCACTAAGTATCCGAAATGGATAAAGCATGCACAGTTGGGTCCCAGAAATGGATGAAAAACAGCTCAGTGACATTTCTTAAGAACTATTCATTTTTAATCTTTTTAAATGTGAAAGTGGATCGGGAACATTCTCCTAAATCCCAGACTTATAAAGCTGAACACTGCCTGGAGGCCTCAGATAATTACATTGACAAAGCCATTTTTCTTTAGTTTTTAAATCACAAATAAAATAATCTTCTATGGAATTTTGGAAGAAATCTCAAGTTTTCAGACTCATAAGTTGTGGAGGGACCTCTGGACAATTTTGTATGGTCTTCATCTGTTATTCTAGAAAGACGCTGAAATCATGCTAGGAAGAAGGAAGTTCCCCCATTTTAGGAAACCTTCCTTGCATCATCTTTAACACATCCTAGATCCAGCTGTGCCCACTGTGGGCAGTTCTTTATTGTGGATAGCCATTATCTCCAGATAGAATGAACCAGTTTGTAATTGTTCTTACTTATGAATAACTTTCTCTCTCTCTTTCTCTCTCTCACACACACACACACAACCAGTCTCCATGGGAATCTTTTATCTCCTTGAAGACCATTTTACCTAACTTTTAATCCTGTGTCCTTTGAATACTCATCCATTCATCTTCCTGAAAACTGCTACCATTCTTACCTCCAAAGTCACCATTCTTACCTCCAAGGTCCAAACTACTAATTCCTAAAAATAAAAAAATAAAAACAAGAACAAAAAACAATACCTTGACAAATTTTGTTGAAAAGCGAGGAGTGATACCACTGTGCCTGGTTTATGGGGATCATGATAGGTAGGAGATGAATATCCTTTGAAGGCCTTCCTCTTCCCATGACAAAGTGTATCTTTCCAAGAAACTCTTTGGGATTACTCACAAACTTGACACCATGTACATCTTATGTGCTGTTAACTCTTCTCAAGAATTACAATTGTCTGGGACCAGCAGTTAGCGTAATGGCTATGTTGCTGGACTCCCATGTAGTCGACTATGGTTCGCGTTCTGGACCAGGTGGCTTAAAACTCACGCTGGGCGCATGTGCGTGCGTTCCCAAGATCCTGAGAGGAGAATGGAGGAGAAGGAATTGTGGCGTGGCCATCCCCCCTGGGGGGGTGATTTCTTGCTTTCTGTCTCTCTGTCTCTGTCTGTCTTGCGAACGCGCGTGCCCTATAGCAAAAACCTCTCAAAAAAAAAAGAAATTAGAGTTGTCTTAGCCTGTTACTACATTGCTAACTGAAATGCCTGAGATTGAGGGAATTTAAGAGAATAGAGGTTTATTTTGAATACCAGTTCCGGTGGGTAGGAAGTCCAAAGGCATTATAAAACGGTGAGAAGGTTATAGCATGGCTTATAGAATCACAGAGGGTAGCAGGTATGAGCAGAGAGGACAACTGCAGAAGCTCTCTCTCTTTCATAGCAACCAGCTTTCACGAGAACTAACTCCTTCTCATGAGAACGAGAACTTACTAGGCCTTTTGAGGCATCATTAGTGTATTCACGGGTATTGCTTCCAAGATACAAACTCCCTCATCCAATCACTGACCACTGGACCTCACTTCTTTCCAACCTCAAGCTCAAAAGTATGAAACTTTGAAGGGCAAACCATCAGCCAAACCAGCAAGAGTTGACACTTCTGTTGTTTAACTTTTAGGCACGTTAGGCTAACATTTCCCTTCTTGATTAAAACCTGTTTTCTGTGTTGACAGAGACCAGATACTGCTACACTCAGCACACAATGGAACTCACAGGAAACAGCATCTCTGTCACCAAACGCTGTGTCCCACTGGAAGAGTGCTTATCCACTGGCTGCAGAGACTCCGAGCATGAAGGCCACAAGGTGTGTGCAACAAAGCAAGTGCCTGGTATAGCATGGGCAGCCTTCCTGCACCTCAGACGTCTGCCAGTGCCCACAAGGAGGTTTCTTACTCCCCCTTACAGGCTGCCTTTTGACTCTCTTTATAGCATTAAGCAAACATGCTTCCTTTCCTTTTCACTCTAGAAGAACACAAATGTATACCAGAGCATAGAACAAGTGGTATAAATTGTAGAAACACATACCAAGAGAGTATTAAAAATTAATGTAAGCCCTTTCTTTACTCAGAAGAAAATAGAAAAGCTACCAGAAGAAAGACAGGCAAGGGACCACTTACATCCAGCACCGCACAGTGTTACAGACACACTGATGATCCACTCACCAGGGATGATCAAAATGGTTTACCTCTGAGAACTTGCTGTAAAGTGGGGGCTTTACTTGGAAGACTGCTTCCCCAGTCTGGGGAAGTTCTCCATTGGCCCCTGAGCTATTTGATAGGGAATGAGAAGATCATCTCCTGTGAGTTTACTCCCCTCTAATGCCCTCTATGCCTCAGTACAGAAGCTCTCAGTGTAAGAAGTACTTCTGGGGCAGCCTTGAAGGAAAACAGGAAGTCAGAGAAAGGCATCCTGCCTGCTGGTTGGGTGACGCATGCCCCTGACTCCTGCTGGTGCTTCAGGACTGGCCGTGCCTATGATGCTGACATTCAGGCCATGGCCTTTACTTAGCACTGCCTGCTTTTCCTGCCAGGCTGCTTTTCTGGTTGTTTTGAGGTAATCTCCAGTCTCAGCACCCAGGCACAGCACTGTCAGTAACACCTTCTTTCTCCTAAGGTAGACATGTAACTCTTAGGAAACTTCTCAAAAACGCTAATAATGAAACTTTAGAATGGAATCTGCTTACTTGCTCCTCATTTGCAATAGGATGGGTAAAACCAAGGCCCTTACTTGACCTCTTCAGTAAGCTGGGCTTGGCTCTCAGGCATCTCTCTCTCTTGTTCTTTTGTTTGTTTGCTTGTTTGTTTTGTTTTGTTTTGTTTGTTTTGAGAGGCTTTTGCTACAGGGCACATGCGCTTGCTGGAAAGACAGAGAGAAACAGAAAGCGAGAAATCGCCCCCCAGGGGGATGACCACGCCGCAATCCCTTCTCTTCCATTCTCCTCTCGGGATCTTGGGCACGCACGCACACGCGCCTGACATGAGTTTCAGCCAATGGGTCTGGGACTCAAACCATAGTCGCCTACATGGGAGTCCAGCGACATAGCCATTATGCCAACTGCTGGTCCCCCAACATAGCTTCTTTATGAAAGAGAAAGTTGAAGATCAGAGAGGTTATATCATAGGCCTAGATCACATAGCTATTAAATGACAAAGAAAAAAAATTGTTTTGAGAGGTTTTTGCTATAGGGCTTGTGCGCTTGGCAGAAAGACACAGAGATAGTGAGACAGAAAGCGAGAAATCACCGCCAGGGGGATGGCCACACCACAATTCCTTCTCCTCTATTCTCCTCTTGGGATCTTGGGCATGCATGCACATGCACCCAGCATGAGTTTAATTCACCGTATCTCGGACTCAAACCACGGTCGACTACGTGGGAGTCCAGAGACATAGCCATTACGCTATCTGCTAGTCCCCTGACAAAGACAAAATTAAATTTACTTCTGACCTCCAATTTCCTCAACATTATACAGGGAACATCGGAAAGTCTATGGAAAAATGAAGTTACATATAAATTTATCTTGGTGAAAAATTCTTTTGAAATTCATGCATAGTCTTTTCATACCTTCCACGTACATTTTCCATGAACTTGCTGAAGACCCCCTATTGCTGTCTTATTAGCCCCACATCAACTACGACCAAAGACCCGAATGATGAATGCATAGAATATTAACCATCCTGTGAACAGGAATAGCCTCTGGATCTTGTTAAAATGCTGATTCTGTTGGGTTGTCAGGAAAGTCATGACATGTTTTTCTATGCAAAAAATGTTTCATGACTTTCCTGATAATCCAGTAATTCTCTAGGTCTGAGTGAGGTTAGAGATTCCACATTTGTAACATGCTCCTAGCTTATGTTGAAACTGCTGGTCTGTACTTTGTATAGCCATGGTCTAAAATAATTTCCATCAATATCCCTTTAGGTTTATTTCACTCCTGAAATTCATGAATAAAATGGTATAAAACAGGACTAATTGCATAAAAGAAAACCTTTAAGCCTAACTGACCCAGGAAGATGATAATCATGTAGATAGTTCTGATGAAAGCAAATACTCAAGTTCACATTACCTGGGTTGTTGCCACTTTCTTCTCACTGTGAAAACTGGCACATGGAAGTTTATCCTTCTAGCTTCTTCGAATAGTCAGAAACTCTTTGAAGAGACAGGATAAGTGTTATAATCCTCATTTCATAGGTACAGTAACTGAGGCCTTTCTAGACTGAAAACCTTAATACCACATGATGGGTATTAACAACAGAACTCAAGGGGGCAAGTAGATGGCATAGCAATTACATCACTGGACTTCCACATGGCTGATAGCAGTTCAAATCCCAGACTGGGTGACTTCATAATCCTACCAGATACATGTGCTTGCATGCCCAAGATCCTGGAAGGAGAATAGAGGAGAAGAGATTGTGATGTGGCAGTCCCCCTCAAGCTGATTTCTCACTTTCCTTCTCACTGTCTCTCTCTCTCTCTCTGGCCAGTGCAGATGCCCTAAGGGGCGGTGGGCGGGGAACACCTCTATAAAAAACCCAAATGTGTGAAGCTTTAGACTAGAGTTTCTGTGCTCACCATGTTGCTTCTTGAAATACAGGGACTTCAAAAAGTTTGTGGCAAAACGGAATTAAAGTATAAATTTATTTTTGGTACAAAAAAGTTTGAAACCCATGCATAGTTTTTCATCATGTGCATTTTCCACAAACCTTTTGAAGACTCCATTTGCTCTCCCTATTTTTGCTAAATGTGGGGTTGGCAGTTGCTTTGTAGAACATTAAATTTTATTTGAGTCTTGATGTGAGGGAGATCATTTCTCCAAAAACCCTCTCTTTTCTTTCTTTCTTTCAGGTCTGCACTTCCTGTTGTGAAGGAAATATCTGTAACTTGCCACTCCCCCGAAATGAAACTGATGCCACGTTTGCCACAACGTCACCTATAAATCAGACAAATGGGCACCCTCACTGTGTGTCAGTGATCGTGTCCTGCTTGTGGGTGTGGTTAGGACTCACATTATAGCAGCTCAATGGCACCATATGTAGTAGGATCCGTGGGGATCTTCACAGTCCATAGTCATGCATGAGTCATCAGCTTGACAGTAGTTACACGTGTTGTCATGGCCCAGCATTTCCACTTACCGTGAGGAACAATCATTGCTTCAGTGTCGTTTCAAGTCTAACTAAAAACCCATCAACGCCAGCCTGTCCCAAACAAACCCTGAGTTCTATACCACAAACTTTTGTTTTCACTCTAGGAAATCGTTGTACATTTATTGAAACCTGGGCTTCTTAATTTGGAATGTACGCATGGGCTTTAGGAGGTCCTGGGGCCTTCTGAGATGTAAGGGGTATGTTATATGGAGACACATAGCTGTGTGATTTCAGGAGAAAGGTAAAGGACCACTGGGTTAAACACAATCATGAATTCACTCACAGCTTAGATTTTAAACTCAATTCCAAAATCAATGGACTGTTTCCCTAGAGATCCTAATCAAGTCCCTGCAAGAGAAAGAAATTATTTATCCCTATGCTGGGCATCATATTCCCTCGCTCTGTGTGGATGATAAAAGGGCAACCAGAAAAGTGTGTTGGTGGTGGTGGCTGATGAAGGATTTCCCCCAACTTGAGGGAACTAACATCCATACAGAGGCTATGCTGAGTCCTACATGTCTATCGGTGTTGACTCAGAGCCAATTTTGTTTATGAGACACTGGATTCTGCCTGGGCTAATGGTGTCCAGAGTTTCAAAATAGGGTGGGGCGATTTTCTCCACATGTGGGAATCTACTCAGTCATAGATAATCTAGGCAGAGGAGGATTTTTGGAATGGTGGTAAATACGTGGACATGAGTCCTCGTTCACAGTAAGGGCCCAGTGAGTGACTCAGCCAGCTTCCTCTTCCATCTGTACTTCACACTGCCAAAGAACCTTCCTGTTCCAAATCCGTGGTGTCTTCAGGGAGAAGGTTCTGCATTCAGCTGTCTTTAGATTAATAGAGAAAGAAAATATAAAATGCTAGAGTGAGAACAAGGCAGACCAGAGAGGTTATGGTGAGACTAGGAAGGAAACCCAATAGAAGATTTTTATTTCTTTTAGATACTGCTTTTGAAGTAGATGGTGAAAGTTTCACCACCTTTCACTATATTGTTGGCACACCAAGTTACAATTTGTTCTTCTTGTAAATCATTTTAACAATATTTATTTTTGTATGGCATAACTAGAAACTAAAATGTATTGTAAAAAATTCTCTATCTGAACAAAATGATCAAATTAGAATACCTATTTTTCAACAGGGGTAGAGCTTGTAATATATGTTTAGAGTTGTGGAGATACTAGTACCAATGTGGAAAAAGGTTAACATGTTGCAAGAGTGTTGTGTTTGCTTCAAGGCTGCTGCTCCTGGCTTCCTCTGTGGTGCTGTCCCAGAAGTATTCTGGTGGTGGCCATCACTGGTCCAGGTTTCTGTGCAGGGTTATGGGTGCATTTTGCATGAAACTTGGTGGAGCCATGACTGATTCAAGAGGACAGTGTTGCCAGGGTCCATTGTCTCTGCACAGGAATATCTTTGGCTCAAAAAATGAGACACCCCCTCAGGGACCAAATATGAACTGCTAGTAGTAACTCTGATACAGAATAATCAAATTGCATCCAATGGCCTTAATTTAGAGTTTAGTAAGTTTATCAGTATGTTGCTTATAACTGGAGTAGAGGGATAGAAATGAAGACATTCATGAAGTACCTCCTATGTGCCAGGCACTATGCTAAGCACTTTACATGAGTTAGGTCTTACAGAATCTTCAAGAACCCCATAAGGAAGATTACTAGTATTAGCCCTTTACAAATGAAGGTCCTGAGGCTCACAGAATCTCGATAACATGAAGCCCTTTCCTTCAGACTTAGGTTATGTGTAATGAGGTGGAATTGAAGAAGGGAAGGCGGAATGACTCTCCTAAGAAAACTTCATGGGAATCTCCATCTTTTCATGTGGAGATTCTTGCATCCTGCTTCTGTAGGATGCCATTTGCATGTGTCCCCAGATGACTTTTTTTTTTCAGAGTGGGGGTATGGCTTCCTCATTCATCCCTCTTGCTAAAAGAGGAGACAGTTGATCTTGCATCTAAAGATGCTATAAGACAATGAAAATTCAGTGTTGTACATTAGCTACAAGAATCATTTTCGTGCATGGTCACATTCCACTGATAACTCCCAAGCACTGCATGCGATTTGTAAAAGAAACAAGAAAGTGGCCGCACCAAAGCTTCCCTGGCTGGGTACAGGGAGCAGGTTCACAGCGCTGCAGACTCATCCACCCTCAGGGGATTATTGCAGACTGCACAATGTTGCTGCATGCATCCCACGTGCCTGTCAGAATGGCTTGAATTCAATTCTCTTGAAAGAAACTGGTTTGCTCACATCCCCAGTATCAAGGAGCCAAGAAGGGCCATTCACGTGGAAGGGCCAGGACTGGTCAGCCATCTGACTTTTCTACCCCATTGAACTTTTCATGAAATCTCGCCATTGGTGATGGCTTGAAGTGTAAAGAGCCATGATGTGTATATTAACCTCTGTGCCACATATTTATTTTTAAACTCCCCGTAGCATTCATGTCAATATGGGATTAATGCCTCAACTTTGTAAATATTGTATATTTTGTAAATCAATGAATAAAGGTTTTAAGTGTATCTTAACAGGCTCCTTCTTGCAAATGTACATGTCAATCAATGATTAATGCACCCAGGTTATGTACAAGGCATTGGGCTTAGCGCCACAGGGAACTTCCTTCCAGCAGCTCGCTTTCTAGTTGTACAGACAAGAAATATGCATGAAAAGATACAAGACCATTTACTCTTCCAGATGATTCATACAGATGGTAGTGCTACAGAAAGTCAAAGGAGGAACTATTATGAGACTTTTTATTTGGGTCTACAGTTTGCCTAGGACACTTCTCTGCTAAATCAGAGAATATGAAAATATTATGCATGTGTGTATGCAGACATACACATACAAATGTTCATTTACATGCGTATATATGTACATATATACATATATACATATACCAATCTGTTAACTTTTTCTAAAATTTTATGTATTTATTTATTTACTTATTTATTTATTTAATTGCCAGAGAGCACTTGCACCTACCAGAGAAAGAGAGGGAGAGAGGGAGAGAGAAAGCAACCTCCTACAATGGGGCATGGTCATGCCACAACCCCTTTTACCCTACTTCTATATCCCGCCAGGATTTTTGGCACACAGCATATGCACCTTGTATTTTTTTTTTAACTTTTTACTTTAGGGCCTGTTCACTCACTGGAAAGACACAGAGAGAGGAAATGTGAGAAAGCACTCTCTAGGGGTGATGGTCACACTGCAGTCTCTTCTCTGTTCTCAGGATTTTGGGCACTCAGGCACATGTGCCAGTGTGATTATTCAGGCTGCAGAGACCAGGTCTCCAACTGCAGAGTCCACCATGTGGGGTCCAATGACCACCCCACCTGCAGGCCCAAGCCTTGTGTATTTTTCACACTGCCAGGATCAGGGTTCAAATCGTGGTCAGACCTGTGTGATGTAACCTCCCAGACATAGTGCTTAATCACAGCTGCAGAGGGGCTTATTTTTTAAGTTTACCTTATAGCAGAGAATGTGTGTATGCATGCCAGAGGGATAAAAGAGGGAGAAGCATCTGGATGGGGTCTAGTCATCCTGCTATCTATTTCCCCAGCCCTCCCTCTTGTCAGAATCCTGGGCACACTCTACACATGCACCCTGCATGTTTTCAGGCTGACCTTGGATTCAAACCTGCAGCAGCCACATGGCTTCCAGCACTGCGGTTCAGTTTAGTACCAACTACACTGTTAGGCTGGACCTTCGTTAACTGTTTTAAAATTGTACTTTATTCTTGGATGCATTGTGTTAGTGATGATAAACTACAAAGCATATTCCCTTGATGATTTCTTATGTATTAAGAATCAAATACTGGAATAGTAATCATGTCATATTTTATTTAGACACCGAATTCATATTTCTCCTAGTAGAACAGTAAATATTAAAAGTGATCTTGAAAACCTTCAGCTTGTATGTGATTCCTGGTTATTCTTTAACATCATATATTGTGAAATTTCCAGAGATATACATCTTTTCCCAAAAGTTACAGGTTTTCTATTAGGTTCTGGATCAATGACATGGCTGGTTTTCTGTGAAGTGTTGTCCTAACATGAAGATGGCTTTTATCACTAACTTGTGGAAACAGCTCTGTGTGTTTAACGTAAGGACACTGTAGGTGGACTATGCTTTCAGGAAATGTGATAGCGAACACATGGACTTAAATGCTTACCCTGTTGGGGGCGGGGTAAAAGGATGCTTCACTTTATAAATGCATTTCATATCTTTTTATACACATGATTTACAAAGAAAATTTAGAACATACCAAGTATCTTGACTCACGCAGAGCAACTTCCAATTTTGCAAGCTTCATTCACAGGTAAGTCAGATGTGGTGCCTTGACTGCAGTACAGGATCAGTTATCTGAAATACTTAGAGAACATTCACACTTATTTTAACTTATTTCCTCTAACTTACGAGGAGTGAAATACATGAAAAGTTCTTGAGCATCTGTTACAAATCCTCACTGTAACTGGAATAACTTAACCTTAGAAATTCAGGCTCTTTTTCAAGAGTGCCCATCAACTTGAAGCTGGGCTAAGGCATGAATATGAAGCAACATGACATTAGCTTGGAGCACTCTCCAGTGACATCTGGAAAACAGGCCTGTGAGTATTTTTGTAAATGTAGTCATGTGTCACATAACATCGGTCAATGACAGACTTCAAACATAATGGTGGCTCTCCCTAAGATGATAATGGAGCTGAAAATTCCTCTTGCCCAGTGACGACATAGCTTCATAGCACAACAAATTACTCGCATGTCTGTGGTGGCGCTGATGTAAATAAATCTGCCCTACTGCCAGCTATGTAAAAATACAGCATATACACGCATGTGCAGTATGTGATATTTGGTAATAACAATGACTGTGCTACTGGTTTATGTACCTATGATACTATACTTTTTATTAGTATTTTAAAGTTCACTCCTCTGTATATAAAGAAGTAAGTGTAAAGCAGTGTGCGGCGTTAAACTGGCAGCATACTGTTAACCGTTACACAGCTCCTGTCTGCTGGGTCTCCCGATGACGTTACTTTCTCTTGTGCGTGCTTTAACCTTGCTTTGTTCATCATAGACTTTCCAGTGGGATGGAGGTTTAAGGAGAAGACAGTCATACTGATAATTATGACCCCTGTAAACCTAAGCTTATGTGTGTATTTGTGTCTTAATTTTTAACAAAAAGTTTAACAGGTAAAAATAAAATAATTTAAAATAGATTCCAACTTCTAGAATAAAGATAAAAGGAAAGAAAACATTTTTGAACAACTATACAATATATTGTATTTTAAACTAAGTGTTATGACCAAATAAGTTAAAACTTTATAATGTAGGGACCAGCAGTTGGCATAATGGCTGTGTTGCTGGACTCCCATGTGGTTGACCATGGTTTGAATCCCAGACCCAGTGGCTTAAACTCACGCCAGGTGCATGTGCATGCATGCCCAAGATCTAGAAAGAATGAAGAAGGGATTGTGGCTTGGCCATTCCCCCTGGAGGGTGATTTCTTGCTTTCTATCTCTCTGTCTCTCTCTATCTTTCTGGTGAGCACACATGCCCTATAGCAAAAAACTCTCAAAAAATTATAATGTAAAAATGTTACAGTAAGCAAAGGTGAATTTGTTATTAAAGAAAGACAATATTTTTAAAATAAATTTGATGTAGTATAAATGTACAATACTAATAAAGTCTACAGTAGTAGTTATAGTAATAAAGTCTACAGTAATGTCCTAGACCTTCGCATTCACTCACTGACTCACCCAGAGTGACTTCCGGTCCTGCAAACTTCATTCATTAAGTACCCCGTATAGGTGTACTGCTTTTATTTTTATATTGTGTTTTTTTTTTACTGTATGTTTTCCATGCTTAGGAGTGTTTAGATACATGAAAACTGTGCTTACCATTTTGTCACAGTTGCCTTCAGAATTCAGTACAGTAACGTGCTGCACAGGTTTGTGGCCTGGGTGCAGTATGACCTAGGTCTGTGTAAGTATACTCCATGATGTTCACACAATGAAATCTCCGAAGGATGCATTTCTGAGGACATACCCCAATCAGTAAGTGATGCATGACTGTATTAAAAATTTCTAGTATAATTTGGTGTGACTTAACCAATACAGAGTTCCAAAATGTCTTCAGGTCAAGCCTTCACTTTCAGTAGTCGTCTATTTTGTTCATTTTAAAGGTCATGGCTTAAAAAAAAAAAAAGTCATGGTTTCTCTTATTCAAAATGGCTACTGTTTTTCTATAACCCTTGGTAAATTTGAATGCCATTATAGTTGCTAGAACTGAATTAGGTGGGGTGAGAGAGGGATACTCTACATAGCTACTCTTTGGACTGAAGAGAGATCTATAATGAAGAGAAATTACTTCTCAGGGGTTCTTTTTTTCTTTCTCCTAAGAGCAGTCCTGGTTTTTATATTTGACTTTGTTTCCAAAGCACTTTCATATTCATTGACCAACATTCAGTTGGTCCGTATGATCCCATTAGCAGCTTTCATAGCCAAAGCTTTGGAGTGAATAAGGGAGATCCCACTGGTCACTTACACTACGAGGACTTTGATTCCTGATCCAGGACTCTGTTCTACACACTTGTCACAAGCTGACATGCTGGTAATTTAAATATGGATAACCAAAAAATCATTTAGAGGGCCCATTTCCTTCCCCTCATTGTGGGATTGGCAGAGCTGTGAGAACAATCATGGTAGTGAAGAGCAGAGTTTAAAGTCGAAGAGGACAAATTTGCCAAGGAAGCAAACTAGAGCGATGGCAACACAGATTGTTTATTCTAACTGGAGGCAGAAAATATTTGGAGACCTCGTTAATTTCAAAATCGTGGTTAAAAAAAAAAAAAGAATAATTCATCTAAACTAGAGGTTATCAGTTATTCTGGAATGGTCATTTGACAGGTTTATAGCAAGTCCAGTGTCAGGAACTGGCCTCAAAAACTGTGTGTCACCCCTGAATCGGAGTTCAGGCCTCCACTGAAGTCCTCCTGGAGAGGAGACACAGTGTCATCAAAGCATGGACAGTGTGTCTGAAAAGCAACTGTGTCATGTTTAGGCAAAATGAAGAGAATGGCGCCAGAATGTAGTCATGCTGCAAAAAGAAGGGCTAGCAATGAGTCAATAATCCATTCATCTCTGAGAAAAATTTAAAATTGACTCACTGTCTGACCCTTATTCTATCTATAGAGGAGTGTGACTGTAGGGGTCACATGCAGGCTATGCCCCAAGTCTAAGTGCTCCTGTCTGTTCACTGGGGTTCACTGGGCAATGGCATATATATATATATTTTTTTTTTTTCCAAATACACACACCCACACACCCACACACACATACACACAAGTCTACACACTCAACTTCTTAGCTGCCCACTGGGAGGACTTTGCCTTCACCTCAGCCTTTCCTAGCAATGAAACAGGACTGTGAGCAACACAGATCCCACATCACACATACCTTGTGAAGAAGAATTGTCTGAGGAGCAGGATCCTGCTTGTGATACTTCTGTTGAGGTGCTTGGGTGAAAAGGTGCTAAGTAGATCTCAGTGGTGGGAGAGAACAATTTTGGGCTCACTTATGACTCATTCAGCCTGACTTGGCCCTGGCATGCCAGCACTGAGTTTATCCCTACCTTGAAGTCTTTCTAAACACTAACAGGGTTGGGCCCATTCCTCACTTTAATATATTTAATTAATTAATGACCTTGTTGTATGTTTTGACACTGACCTAAATACCAACTATTCTGGGTAGAAACACACCCTTCGTGAT